AGGAGTGTGTCAGGAGTGCAGGAGCCATCGAGCACAGTGTGATGGATCCAGGCTGGCCAATCGAGTGCCCAGGGATGGATCAGGGCAGGAGGGATCGAGCGCAGAGCGATGGATCAGGGCCGGGATCAATGGCAGGAGGTGACATCTCGCATGTCCCCCATGGAATAAGTGACAGATCTGCGCTCCATTGCTCCTCCCTCCCCCATCCATCCCTCTGCACGCGATTGCTTCTCCCTCCATCCATCACCTCTGAGCCTTCATTGCTGTTTATTCCCATTTTTTTCTATTTCTGTTTCTAGGATTTCTATTTTTGTTTGTTCTTTTCCTGTTCTTATTTCTGTTTATTCCTATTCCTACTTCTAATCCTATTCCTGTTCTTTTTCCTATACTTTCTAATTCCTTTTCCTATGCATTCCTGTTCCTATTTTTATTCCTATTCCTACTCCTATCCCTATTCCTATCCTATTTCTACTCCCGTTCCCCTTCCGGTTCCCGTTCCCATTCCCGTTCCCATTCTCCTCTTCTCGTTCCCACTCCTTTCCCAATCCCCATTTTTCTCCCTCTTTTCCCGTGGCCCCGGCGGTGCCGGCTGTAGCGGGACTCGAACCCGCGGTTCCGGAGGTGCCGAGACTCGAACCCGCTCTCCCCGGGGCGCGGCGCAGTTCCCGCCGTGGCCGCCAGGCGGAGCCGTTACCCCACGAGGCGGAACGGGCCGGGGGCACCGCGGGGACAATGGGGGGGGGGAGGCGGGACGACACAACACACACAGGGGACGGGGACAGGAGGGGACAGCCCCGCCCGGGGCACGCACCCAGACCCTGCCCGCAGAAGCAGAGACCCCCCCCCAAAACAAAAGCCCCCCTTGCAAAGCCCCCCAACCCCCCCGGCTGCTGGGGGTGGCTGGGGACAGCCCTGCGGGTGGCCAGGGGGTGGCCAGGGCTGGCCAGGGACCCCCGGCTGGGTCACGCTGCTGGGGGACCTTGGGGTCTCGGCCCCGAGTGGGGGGGGGGAGAGGGGCACAGACCCCCGGGGTGTCCCCCCCAAAATCAGGGCTTGTCACCGCCCCGAGGTGCCCCCGGCGCGGGGGGAGCCCGGCAGGGCTGGGGGGACGCGAGGATCCTCTGGGGGGGCTCAGCCCGGCCTGGGGGGCGCTGCTGGGAGAAGTGGGGGGGGCCATAAACAAACCCCCAGAGCCCCCCGGCCCCAGCCCGGATCCATCCCAGTCCCAAACGCCACCCCCCCCTTCCCTGCCCCCCAACAAACACCCCCAAACACTCCCCCAAAAAATCCCCCGGCAGCCCCAAATCCCCTTATAAACCAGCCCTATCCTGTCCCCCCCCTGCAAACAGGACCCTGCACACTTTATTTATTCCCTCACCCTCCTTCACCCACTCTTTGTTGTTTCTTGGGAGAGAGAAAAAAAAAAAAAAAAAAAGAGAGAGAGAGGAAAAAAAAAAAAAAACCCACACAGGAGGAGGCAGGAGCCTATTTTGCCTCCCAGGCAATATTTCTGGAGCCAATCGGAATGCGCACCCACCCTGCCCTGCTCCCTAATTAAAGGCTTTAAGCAGGCGGCCGGGGCCGGAGGTTTGGGCACAGTCTCTCGGTGGCTCCTCACGAAGCAGCCGCAGCTCCGGATCGCGCTCGGGGCACGCCAGGGCCTCGGCAGCCGCCAGGTTGGGGGGTCCCCGGGCCGGGCAGGCAGCTGCCCCCTCCCCGCCGCCAGCCATGAGCGGCTCTTTCGATAAGAAGCTCTCCAGCATCCTGACGGACCTCTCGGGCTCGCTGAGCTGCCACGCAGCCTCCAAGGACTCTCCCACCCTGCCGGAGTCCTCGGTCACCGACTTGGGCTACTACACGGGCCAGCATGACTACTACCCGGGCCAGTCGTACGGGCAGCCCGTGGGCCACTACCCCTACCCCCAGTTCAACCTGAACGGCATCGGCGCCGCCGGCACCTACTCGCCCAAATCCGAATATTCCTACAGCCCCTCGTACCGCCAGTACGGCCACTTCAGGGAGCAGCAGCTGCCGGCGCAGGAAGCAGGTAAAGGATGGGGGGCAGAGGGGTCGTGCCCGTCCCGCTGCTCCTTTGGGGTTCCAGTGGGGGCTTTGTGGGGTTTTATCCTTCGGGGTGTCCTCAGACTTGTGGGGTTTTACTCCTACGAGTGTCCCCGGATTTGTGGGGTTTTACCTCTCCGGGTGTCCCCGGATTTCTGGGGTTTGACCCTTCTGGGTGTCCCCGGATTTGTGGGGTTTTACCTCTCCGGGTGTCCCCGGGTTTGTGGGGTCTTAGCCCACCGAGTGTCCTCGGTCTTTCTGGGGTTTTACCCCAGAAACCCCAACCTCGGGGTGTCCCCAGGTTGGGGACAGGGAGTTGGTCCCCAGGTGACAAGGGCCCTGCGGTGACACCTCGGGGTGTCCCCAGGTTGGGGACAGGGAGTTGCTGGCGGCTCTTGGGGCTCCGGGAGAGATCTGGATTCAGAGTCCGGGACACATCCCAGGGATGTCCCAGAGGCTGTCACAGGGGACGGGACACTGCCAGCACCCCGAGCGGGGTGACACCGACCTGGGGACGGGGTGACACCGGCCCGGGAACCCTTCCCGCCTCACCCCTCGCCCTCCCGCAGTGTCCGTGAAGGAGGAGCCGGAGCCGGAGGTGCGGATGGTCAATGGGAAGCCCAAGAAGATCCGCAAGCCCCGCACCATCTACTCCAGTTACCAGCTGGCCGCCCTGCAGCGCCGCTTCCAGAAGGCGCAGTACCTGGCACTGCCCGAGCGCGCCGAGCTGGCGGCACAGCTGGGGCTCACCCAGACCCAGGTAAGGGTTAAATTCCACCCCCCCGCCCCGGACACCCCAAATCCCCACCGCGGGCAGCGCAGGGGGAGCCGCTCCTCTGTAAATCCTGGATTTGGGAAGGGCTCGGCTCGCAGGGATGGAGTTCCCGGCGTGCTGGGGGTTGTGGGGTGCTCAGGGTGAGATTTCCCCACCTTGCAGCTGTGCCGGGGGAAAGGGGGACAGGACAGAGGCGGCGGGGAGAGGGGACCGAGCCCAGGAGTTTCGGGGTTTATCCCAGTTCCTCTGGAGCCGGCCCCGTCCCACACCTCACTGCACCGCGGGGTTTGGGGCTGGATCCCGCCCCGGGAACCGGGCAGATCCTGGGGCACGGCACACCCGGTGTGCCAGGAATGTGGGGCACCGAGTCCCGGGCGAGCAGAGCGGCGGGAATCAGTGCTGGGGATCAGCGTTGGGGACACCCCATCCCTCAGCACCTCCGGACCCCAAATCCTGCCAGAACACAGGCACGGAGCGTGCCCCTACTGCCCAGACTTCCCAAGGCTTCCCCTGGCTCCGGCTGCCCCATCCCGCTGGGTTCGGGCAGGGATTTGGGGACCGGTTCCACGCCCGCTGTCCCCGGCGCTGGGGTGGCCCTGCAGGCTGGACTGGAAGAGCCGGGACGTGCGGGATGAGCTTCTCCTCCTCCCCGCAGCCGCCCAAATTCGGGGCGAAACCCCCGCTCTTGGGGTCCTGAGGGCGCGGGGACAAATCTGCTCTGCGGATGGGAGGGGGAGCGCGTTGTCCCCTCTGTCCCCCCTGTCCCCTCTGTCCCCCCCAGCTGTGACTCCTCCGCGCCCCATCGCGGTGCCCTCCCTGCCTCGGGGCCGGCGCCGGCGCCCTTGTGCCGCCCTTGGCCTTCCTCCTTCTCCTCCTCCTCCTCCTCCTCCTCCTCCTCCTCCTTCTCCTCCTCCCTTGGGCGATGAAGCAATCGGGGACACTCGGCAAAGGGCTGACGGAGCGCGTCACCCGCTCCCAGAGGGACATCCTGTTTGGGTGACAACCACCGCCACCCCCGCCCCTCGCCCAGGGCCAAGGGCGTCCAGCGCCGCCTCGCCCAGCGCGGGGACGCTCCCGACGCCCGGCGTGTGGCGTGACGGGCTCCTGGTGACGCCCGTGTCCCCAGAGGGGTCCGTGCCACACCAGGTGTCACATGGGTGCTGCCCACGGGGCACGGCGTGTCCGTGTGCATGGAATGTCCATGGAATGTCCATGGAGTGTCCATGGAGTGTCCGTGCTGTGTCCGTGCTCTCTGTCACACTCACACCAAGGGTGACTTTCCCACGACCCCCCTGTCCCCAGGAGTTTCCTCCCACGCGCCGTGTGGGGTCGCCAGGATGTCCCCTCCCGTGGCGCCTCAGGTGTCACTTCTGTCCCTTGTCCCTTCCTGTGCGCCAGAGTGTCTGAGGTCCTCATGACCTCCGTGTCCCTTTTGTCCCTTCTCGTGTCTTTGGGGTCACTGTGACCCCCCAAGTTCATCCCAGTGCCCAGGGCAGTTGCCTGTGACGCCCCTGCCCGGTGTCCCTGCGATCCAAACCCATCGCGCTGCTGTCCCCTCTCCCGCATCCTCCCATTCCCTTCCTGGGTCCTGACCCTTTTTCCCGGATCCATCCCATCCTCCTGTTCCCTTTCCACCTCTCTGACCCTTTTCTCTCCATCCATCCCATTCCTCCCATTCCCTTCCAGAGTCCTGACCATTTTTCCTGGATCCAACCCATTCCTTTCCCGAGGATCTGACCCTTTTTCCTGGATCCATCCCATCCCATCTCTCTGACCCTTTTTCCTGGATCCATCCCATCCCATTCCCTTCCCGTCTCTCTGACCCTTCTCCCTCCACCCCTCAGGTGAAGATCTGGTTCCAGAACCGGCGCTCCAAGTTCAAGAAGCTCTACAAGAACGGCGAGGTGCCCCTGGAGCACAGCCCCAACAACAGCGACTCCATGGCCTGCAATTCTCCGCCGTCCCCGCCGGTGTGGGACAGCCCCGGGGGCAGCGCCCGGACCCCGCTGCCGCAGCCGCTGCCCTACAGCTCCTCGCCGGGGTTCCTGGAGGAGCACAACCCCTGGTACCACCCCCAGAACCTCCACGGACCCCACCAGGCACAGGCGGCGCCCCCCATGCACCACCCGTCCCCCGGGCCCCCCAGCACGGGCGCCGTGTACTGATGGGGTTTGGGTTTTTTGGG